ATGTGTTCATGTGCCCAGGATCCTGACAGGATGGAAAATTGACAGATGAAAGATTGAAATATAGGACCAGGTCCCATCTTCTCTATCTGATGTGCAGATACACAGACCCTCAAGCAAAAAAAAAAAAAAAAAAAAAGCACCTGGTCACCTGATGAGTGATTATTATTGTAATGTTTATCCTTTTTTAAATAATAAAAGACAGCTCTTCAAGTCTTCCAAGCTTTTGGTGAAGATCCCCTGATATGACATCATGATTTTTTTTTTTTTAATCTTTCTATTTTAGCTTTTAGGGAAGAAGAATTTAGAAAGTATCCGGTTTGTTCTGGCCTTTTTAAAAATTTTCGGATCTGACAGGAAATCCCCTCTTTTTCATGGTGCCAACACGGGCCATGCATTGGCTTTCCATGACAAAGGCGAGGGCAGGCTGGCCAGGTCTGCCTCAAGAACACACTGGGGCTTCTTTTGCACTAACAGCCTCAGGTTTTAGCTACTAGCACAGCTAAATAAAGCAAAAACCAGTTCAACTCTGAAGATTTAGGATCCTTTCAAGTTGTGGAAAGTCTCAGGAAGAGAAGCACAGTTTGAGAGCTTGTTGGGAAATTGGGTGATGTTCCTTTGTGGTCATGGCGTGGCCCAGTTTGCCTAGGGAGGGACCGTGAGCAGCCTTGCGGGCTGCAGGGAGAGAGGGGTGCAAAGACAGTTCTGAAGCCTCTGGGCTCCCCGACTGCCTTTTTTCCATTAAGTTAAAAAACTGGGCGAAGGGTCTAAAGTGTCAAGACAGAAACCTGAAACCCCTTATCAGTTCCTCACATTTTCTTATGCCCTTCTTCCCCTAAATAGCACCTCAAATCCTACAAGGCTGGGTGGCTGAATACATCTTTTCCTCTGCACTGTCCCAAGAAACACAGTGAAGTCTAGTTCGGATCCAGAATTTCTGACCTGGTTCCAGGCAGAAAATGTCACCGCGGTAGGAAAACAGTGCCAGCTGAGTGCCGGTGCAGACACTGACCTCCAAGCCCCAGGGGCACAGGAAGCCTCTTCCCTTTTTTTTTTTTTAAGGTTTTTGCCATAGGGTGCATGCACTTGCCAGAGAGCAACAGAGAGAGGGAAAGTAAGAAATCGCCACACACCACATGGGGAATGACAATGCC